GAGAGAGAGAGAGAGAGAGAGAGAGAGAGAGAGAGAGAGAGAGAGAGAGAGAGAGAGAGAGAGAGAGAGAGAGAGAGAGAGAGAGGGAGGTGGACGAGGGAAGTGAGCGCTGGGGGAGGGCAGGCGCTGGCTTTGACGGATAAGTGACCGCTGGCAGAGTGCGGGCGGAGGGGAGCAGCGAGCGCGCACGAGCGAGAGAGAGAGAGAGAGAGAGAGAGAGAGAGAGAGAGAGAGAGAGAGCTGCGTGAAAGTGTGTTACGTTACAACCGGCGCTTCAGGGAACGGCGACCTGCGCTTCACGACAATGAACAACCACGGGCGCTTCGAGCTTCGAAACAGACCGACAGGTGCTGCACCCACAGCACCAAACGACACGGGCGCAACTTTCGAAACAGACCAAGAGGCGTTGCAGTCACGGCACCGAACGACAGCAGACTCAGTGTGAAACTGTGCCTGCTGCGCTCGGACAACCCATTGAAACTGAAAGACGTGCACTGCCACCTGGGCTGTCGGCCCCTACCGTACCGACGGCTTGGATTTGGACGCGGGCTTACGATCTTAAGTCCGTGTTGATGCAGGCTGCCGGTCCGGTAGGACCCGATGGCCCAGATCGCAGATTTGTTACAATCTCCCGACGATCTGGGCCGTGGGCCAGTAGGACTGCAACGGCCCAAATTTCACTTTTGTTACAATCTCCGGACAATCCGGGCCGTGGACCGGTAGGACCGCGACAGCCCGGATTTCAGATTTGTGACGCTAGCAATTTTCATAGTGTAGGGAAGAGAGGATTCTTGTTCGATTCTTCCAGCGAATTGAAGGGCCAAGTCAGCGCTCGACTCTCTCGTTCTGAGCTACACATGTTTATCATCTTTCCTCGTTTAATTTCAATTCAGCTACGTTCAGTCGCAAGTGGATGGTTCACACAGGGAAGAATGGGATATGTTTGGTGTGTATTAAGTGAGGTAGATATCTGTACATCCGGGTCGTACTGTGACGAGAAGTGCGACTAGGGGTAATATTTGTGAGAGAGGATAGTCGTCAAGAGGAACTCTGTGAGAATATTCGTATTATCTGGCCTTCTTTCACATTAAACTGATGTTGCATACAAAATATTGACTTGGGAAACTTGGATTGGCATTATCACTTGCAAGCTCCTTTACTGCAGCCTCTCCGGAGCGCATGTTATACACTTAAGTACAAAAAATTCAGATGCTTTCCTGTTTTCACTTCCTTTGTTTAACTGCTCATTCTGCCTCACCCTGTGTTACCTAATCGCTGAACTGTTCTATTTGCTTCTTTTCTTCTAGGGGTCTGAAATCTCTGGGGGTACTCTGTCGTCAAGACAAGTACCCAACACCATCTGTGTAAAACAAATTTCAGTAATGGCCTTACAAGTATGAGAACGACAAAAATGTCATAAGCAGTTTTCCGGGTGGTTCTCATTTAATTTCTATTTCTTGTTTTACATTTGTGTGCTGCATGACTAATAGAACTTGAGCTCTGGGCGAACGTGCGAGAGACATCGAAAACTCACTTCCAGCTGGTTGCTGAGGACCTTGGAAGCACGACCAACAGACGCTGTCGCCCCTGGCTTCAGCGAGCTGCGGACGTCCTCCTCCCCGAGTTCCCTTGACAGTCTCTCTCTCTCTCTCTCTCTCTCACACACACACACACACACACACACACACACACACACACACATACATTCGGTTGAGAAATATGTATGTATACACATAGTTGTATTCACTAATAAGTTATATATATATAATACATATATATAGGGTTTTTTTCTGTGATGGGGTCGTAAGAAGTGCACTCTATAGATTGGTGTGAAGTGTTGTTAAAATGACTGTCTGGTTTTCTTATAAATGGGCCTGAAAAATGGGTGCTCGGTTAACGTGCTCTCATATATATAATACATATATTTATATATTATGTATATATATCATATATATCGTCACAAACAGAACTGCCCGGTAAAACCGTAGGCAGAGAGAGAGAAGAGGACAACAAACGAGGGGCTGTGACAAACTGTTTCGTCGGAGTT